TCAACATACTCCACAGAATTGGGCCCCAATCCCTCGGCTACGCTAGGGGCCGTGGCACAAGAGGCGGACCCCGCCATCGCGTAGGCCAGAAGTAAAGTCCAGAGCTTGTCCAGGTAGGAGTTGGCATCCCGACTGGCAGGTTCATCTTCCTCAGCTTCCTCAACATACAAAGAATCAGCGATCTTTCTTTTCTTTTGGGTGGTGGCCTGCTGGAATTGGAGAGATTTCACTCGCCAAATGTTGTACACACACACAACATGCGTTTGGTGAGTTCTCGTGTAACCCGAGAAATCGTGGCATCAGCAGGGTGAACCTCAGGGGGGAACCGCAGCTTGTAGCGGCGCCAGAAGGCGCTCTTCAAATCCCGGAGTTCGGAGTCGCCCAACAATGCATCTAGGTCAGATGCTGAGATGCGAGACCGATCTTGTTCGGATTGTTTGAAATAGAGCGATACGGCGGCCCACGCCCGACGAACCCTTGCCCCCCTGAAGGTTGGCGTCCTCGCCCAACAAAAGTTTGGACAACCACGGTTGCACCTTGTCCTCACTTGACCAAAGCATCGGTGACCGCTTCAGCTATGCTGAAGTTAATCCCTAACTGGCGGAAAGTAGCCGCAGCATCCGCACCGTCACTCGGCACGAGTTGCAAGCTAGACGCCATGCGGGGACACAGGGACCCTCCCTAGGTAAAGTGAGGACCCACCTCACACAGTGGTACCACGAGGACCCACCTCGCCTCTGTCGGCCAAAAGGAGCTGGCGAGGCGGAGATCCTAGGTGCACATGGACGACATGCAAGCAGTTCAGCTCTGGAAACAACACAGATCAATCACACACTGCTTGTGTCAAAGGCCTGGAACCCCCGGCCACACAGCATTCCTGCTGGTTTGGGGATAACCCCCCAAAAAGGAAAACCGCGACGCAGCAAAAGACTCACTGACCCTCAGGGTTCTTTCCGCTGATGGCGCGCTCTCCGGTCGCCTCGGTAGTCTACACGTGACGTAGTCTACAAAAAGGGGCATCTACGGAGGCCGCCTGCTCTTATGGGGCGCAGCCGTCCCGCGACCACTGGGCCGGCCGGCTGCTCAGCAGCTCAATGTCGCGCTTGCCAGGAGGCTGGGGCTTTGCTCCAGCACGGTCCGCACACAGGACGGGCAAACGTACTCGCTTCCATGAAGCTGCTGTAGAAGTGGGCGTCTTTGAGCCTCTGCTGAACTCGAGCTTCGCCTTGCTTGAATTGGCACAGAGCGACACGGCCTTCAGTGCACAGGTTCTCGGCTGCTTCATCCACTGAGGTGCCCATCATGAGTGCATAGATGAGGGCTGTACAGGCAGGAGCTCGATGCTTGCCAGCCATGCAGTGCACGAGCACGGAATCACCACAATGTAGACTCTGATGAATGAGAGGCCATGCAGTCTTGAACTCTTGGTCCATGCGCTTGCTGCCCATCTGAACCTTCATGACGCATGCCTGCGGCAATGACACGCCTCCCCGACCCTCGGGGTATTGTGGTCTTTGGAAAGTGCTGCACCGTCTCAGCAATGGGAACACCCGATAGCCACAGCTGGCCTCTTGACCGGGTTGTCATGATCAGGGTAGGGGCGAGAGTGTCACGCCCTTCGGAGGTGGCCAAACGGTCCCAATGTGCTGAGGACCTGGCGACACAGCCGGGATGGGCAGGGTACTCGGTGCTGGCTCTGAAGGTTGTCTCCAAGGGGGAGTCCTGGCAAGTGGCGGTGGTGAAGGATCTCGCGGATCTCTTGGCCTCTTCTTGGCCGATGTGGCAATCAGCTTGGGCGGAACTGCCTTGTGTGGAAGCGCCTTCGGAGGCGTCTTGGGCCGTGGAGATGGTGCCTCTACTGCATCTGGCCGAGCACTCGGCTGGGGTGAAGCCTCTCGTCTGCGCTTGGTGCTTGCGGAGGGTTTTGCCTTCGAGGACGTAGTAGTAGTAGCCGGTGTCGTCGATGCTCGAACTGGAACTGGCGTCTCGGCCGGCAAATACTTCTTTTCGGTGCAAATAAAGGCACCGTGGCTCCCTCCACAAGCCCGCCCCCGGGCCAAAAGCACAGCGCAGAGGTGAGCGTTCCCGCAAACCTCTTCTCCCTCCGTGCAACCTTCGGGCGTCTGGAAAGCCCCGCAAAGGCGACGCCCATTCTTCAAGAAAGCCGTCAGCACGCGACCACGAATGGCATCCGGCATGGACACCGTCGGGCGCGAGGTGCTTCCTCGGATTTTGTTGGCCGCTGCTGTTGCGACCCGGGCCCTCGAGAACTGAAGATGGGTCTTCAGCGACTCCTTGGTTGGCTGGGCAGCATGCCGCGTCTCCTTGTCCTTCGCTATGGCCAAGGCGAGCGTTTCTTTGGCCACCTCACGGAAACCATCCAAGTCAGCAGGAAGCACCTCCTCCCAAAAGCTGTGACCCTCACAGCTGTGGGCCACTGAAGTTGCCAGGATCTTGTTGCGAAGCGACTGGGCGAGTAGTGGAGTGCCATTCCCGCCTCAGCCGGCTCCTTTGACTTGTCCTGCCAATCGCCAAGGGAGCAGAGGTCAGAGGACGACATATTCAGAATGTGGCCCACGGTGGGAAGCATGCGTCTCCACGAGTAGGTGGTCAACTGCTCGGTATTGTCCAGGAACTCGGCGAAGATTGACTGGCAGAGGTGCTGCACCTCAGCAATGTTCCAAGGCGTCCCACGCCTGTCAAAGCAAATTCCTGAACTCTTCTGGGCCACCGGAGAAAGGGCTTTCGAGGCTTTAAGCCAATCAACAGTCCAGTTGAAGCCAGAAGCAAGCTCGGCAGGAGCACACCAGTCAAATCCACCTCGGGCGTGACGCTGCTTGCCTTTGCGACAGTGGCCATGGAACACCAATGGACTGATTCGGCGAACAGTGAACCGGCAAAGATGTTGGTACCTCAAGCAACCAGTGGCCACGAGCCAGGAACCTAAGAGACATGTCCATCGCGGGTCCCCCCCACAGCACATGCTCTCAGTGCGCTCCTCCAACACCTGCAGCATGCCGGGCTCCACAACAAGGGCTTGACTCTTCGTCGAGGTGGCCTTCTTCTTCAACTCAGGGGAGATACGAAGCCGGCCGATGTCCCAAGGAGCTCCTGAATGCTTGCACAACCAGCGAAGCGCATTGAGCGCGCGGGTAGGGGTCATCGTCCCCTGATGCAGGAAGTTGTCCATGTCCACGAAGGCCGGAGGGAACGACCTCCCTCGGTGGAGCAAAAAGGCGTGCACCTCCCCGTAAGTGTGGAGGGCATTCTGAATCGTCGCCGACTCAGACTCCGCCACCTTGGTCTGGGCCAAACGAAGGACTGATGCCTGCCAATCCCGCTTAAGGGCCTCAGTCAACAGCCCATCTGGCTTCAAGGCGCCGACCGTCAGGAACACCTTCTGCAGGGCCAACACCTGGCGCTGTATGGACTCAGGCTGATCCTGGACGCGCTCATGAAGGCGTACCCCCGCCTCAAGTGGAGCTTCTTTCCTCTTGCGAGCCAGCGGAGGACGTGTGTCCGGCACCAGAGGTCCCCCCTCGATCAGACGAGCAGCTGCAGGAAGAAGTTTTTTGTGTTGGGCAACACGGACTGCCAGCCAAGCATCTGCCAAGAAATGGCCTCCCACGGCCACGGCTTCCTCCCAGGTAGAGAAGGCAAATGCGAAGTCCTCGTCCTTCTCGTAGCCCCGCTCACGCCGCCAGGTGATGGCGCGAGCCCCTGCCACTCGGGCGAGGCTATCCTCCGCTCGCCAACCAGCAGACGAGGCTGGCTCATCCGGCGGAGCCTCCACTGCTTCAGCGACTTGCGCACGGTACACCATGGCTTGCGCACCCGCTGAACTACCCACTATCGTCATCAGACGACGAAAGTTCGCGGCAAACCGGACAGATTTGGAGCACTGGGAAGCAGGCGGAACACACTCCTTTGATACAACCAAGGCACTGTCGGTAAGTGGGATCACCACAGCCGCAACACGCTGGAGGAAACTCAGACTCTCCGTTGATTGAGGGTCCCAACCATCCACGAAGGGCTCGATGGGCACGAATCTTCGGGTGAAGGGCGTCCAGATGGCGCGGCAAGTGCTCAATATCTGGCAGCGGGGCACGAAAGGGGTTGGACCACAACCCATGTGGTGATCCCAAAATCCAGTGCCGCGTGTAGTAGAGAACTTCAGATTGAAAAGTTTGCAGGGGCAAGAGGTCAAAATCCCCGGGAACCTTCTGCTGAAACTCCCGCAGGTAGGAGGGCACAAAATTGTCTGCAGAATACGGGGTACGCACGGGCTGCAACAAGAGGAGGCCCATCGAGGCGTCCAACCGAGCATGCCTATCCCAGGCCTGCTGAGGAGTGAACCCTGGTGGCACGATCGTCCCGCGCCGGTTCCAAATCCCGACCCACGGGAAGACATAGCCCCCTCGCCCCTGATCGCACCGTGGGTATACACTCTTGGAACAGACTCAAAGCCGCATAGGAGGGAAACTTGAGGGCCCGTCCCCCGGGCGTGAAGACGGAGGCATGTGTTCAAATAGAACCACCGAGCTCCAAAGCCGCAACGCGCCTGCCCGGTCCCCCCGGGCCAGAAGAGCATCGACCTGGCGACGGAACTCGATGAACGCGGCGGGCGAAAGCACCTCAGCATCAGTGAACATGGCGACACGCACACCGACGATATGCTGTGAAGCCATCCACAGCAAACACAGCAAAAGTTAAGCAGAACAGAAACTCCACTGTCCCACTTTTGGCTTGAGCCAAAATGGACAGTGTACCAAATGTAATGAAGACTGTGCACCCAAACCTGCCCAAAGCTCGACACAGTTTTATGCAGTTCTACGGAAAAACAGGCATTTTGTTTTTTGCTGCAAACTGCAAACTCAACATACAAGTCTTTTCTCATCCCCTTTTCCCACATAAAGTGTCAAAAGATGAGGGCTGTCAGTGGCCTGGAGTCAGGAATGCCCTGCGCCAAAGAACTGCTGCTGCAAACTCCGAGTCGGGGCCTGAGGGTTGCCAGCGCTAAGATCTGCAAATCGTCACTGGAATCAAGCCTCACTTTGGCCTCGCCAAGCGAACGCGGGAAACTGCATAAGGTGACTGAACTTGGGTGTTCAGAACTTGTGCTCCTGGTGTCGGTATTAGTACAGGTGCGAACCTTCCTAGCAGTGACACACACACACACTCTCAAGATAGTGCGTACTGAATTGAACGCCACTCACCACACAGCAACCTAAGTGACCATATTCCGAAGAGTACAGGTACAAGGAAACCTAAAGGTAAATGGAGTGGAGCTCGGCCATCGCAAAGGCTGAAACTCAACATGCCAACATGTGAGAACCTCCAAGGCCCACGAACTCCAAAACCGGAATCGCGACAGGATGACGACGGATCGCGCAAGTCTGCGGCAAGTAGTAGCCCTTTAAAGAAGATGAGAGTGACAGTTGGCAGCTGTCCCAAGTGATCTGCCGCTACCCCTGCTATAAAAAAAACAAGGAGGTGAACCAATTGAAAGGAATCCGTGACTCCAAGGGCGTCACGCACACACGCCCCCCGTAGAGGGGGGGCAAAAGCTAGGACTAAGGGTCAGGCTATGGTGTAAGTGTGTGTGCGCGCGCGCAGAAGACAAACGGATGAAGACATGAGGGAGACAGACAGGCTGGTGTAGGTGGTTGCGATGAAAGGGAACCTAGCGACCAGGAACAACCAAATGAGCCAGACCTCATTGTAACAACCTAGGCGACCTCCAACCTGGATTTAGTGTACGAGTGCGCATGCACGCTGAGGGCCGGACCGATGCGCGCGCAAAAAGAGAAAGGATGAGGTGCCAAGACATGAAGACAGAAACGCATGAAACGAAAGAGGAAAGGAAAGTGTGTAAAGAGAAAAAGGATGAACAACGGAAACCAAATGGAGGGGCCGGAAACCAACGAAACCAAACCTCGTTTAAACAAACTTAGGAAGACCTGCCTCGTTTAACCTGTACGCACTGTGTGTGCACCCAAGGTAGCGACAGGTCCCAATGGACCTTGACTGTCCGCTGCGGACACGTTCTGGCGTGCCGGCTGCCTGCTTAGATTCAGTAATCCGGCGTGTCTTGGCAAATAACTTTGGCTCAAGCCTACTCCGCCCGCTATGGCGCTATGGGCACGTGCGTTTCCGGTCCGTGGAAACAGAGAGATACCCCCGTTCGACGGGGCCACTCGTCTGGCACGCCCTGGACTGGCATGAAGCCAGACACACTCAAGATAATGCGTGCTGAATTGAATGCCACTCGCCAAACAGCAACCTACGTGACCATATTCCGAAGAGTACAGGTACAAGGAAACCTAAAGGTAAATGGAGTGGAGCTCGACCATCGCAAAGGCTGAAATTTAACATGCCAACATGTGAGAACCTCCAAGGCCCACGAACTCCAAAAGCCGAATCGCGACAGGATGACGACGGATCGCGCAAGTCTGCAGCAAGTATTGGCCCTTTAAAGAAGATGAGAGTGACAGCTTGTAAACACCACAGCTCAGCAGGCACGTCAGAGTGGCCAACTCTGATATCACCAGATCAAATGGGCATCTTTGTTAGTGATCTGCCGCTCACACACACAGACATTTTAGACTGTTTTGAGAGGCCTTCTTAGCTAATGGCCGCAAAGCCTGCTTGACAGCCTTCTGAGTAACGCGTCAGATGAAGCCTCCCGCCATGTCAAGCCACGTTCACTTGCCAAGACTGCTCCCTGGCAATCAAGCTCGGGGATCCCCACAACAAGTGTCACCAACAAGAACGTATTGCGACTTGTGCTGCTTGTCTGTGTTGCATGTGCCTGAGTGAACGTAAACCCTCTTACTTGCCTCTCTCACGACAACTACTGCAATCCAAGAACAACATCAACCTTTGTTGATACATTGATCGTTCATTCTACTCAATCAGCCAGGGCTTGCGCACCTCACGGGCAAGTCGGCCACATATGCATAAATGGCAGGTCCGCCGCAGCCACGCCTGGCAACTTCATTTGGGGCACTAGAATTGGATACCTGGAGCATCTGGAAAATGCGGTTTCATGAAAAACATTGAAGTACCTGCATTGGCCCTACGTTTCATGCAAAAATCGACGCAACTTCAGGATCTGAAATGCGAAACCCAAATTTTCACGCATGGTCCTTCAATACAGGTGGTCTGTGAATCCAGTTTGGGATAGAACCTCTGGCTGCAAGGAGGGCCGAAACATGTTCTTTTTCTGCGACGTCTGCAGCATAGCGCTTCCCAAATGAATGCGCGTCTTACGCGTCTGCTTCGCCTCACGGCTATACCCTGCAGGAACGGTTTTTCAATTTGACCACAGCCCACAAAGCCAGAAGGCCTTTGCAGAACACCTGGTTTTGCCCACCCCAAACATCTCCAAACGCAATCCTCTTAATTCAACACACGTCACATAGGCATCAAACTATGAAGAAGAACACCTGTCCCAAGCCAAGCCGGGATTTTCGCTCAAAGGTCCACGTGAAGAAGATCGGCTCACTTTCAGAGTCTTCGTGACTTTGACTTTACGACATTCAAAAAGCACATCGCTACATGGGGACCGACTGGTGCAGGCCCGGGGCGCAGGATGCTTGTGGCGCGCAACCTCATTCCGCGAGGTTGTCCATGTGCGCAAGGGCTAGCAGCCAGTGACGCTCTTGGGGTCATAGCTCGCTGTGTTGCAGCGTGCCGTCTCCTGACGCAGCATTGAGTCAGCAGGCACTGCCACACCAAACAACTGTTTGGCCACTGAGCAACAGTTGGCAGCGTTGCGCAAACAACCATGCTGAAAATATGAGCACAACGCGTGACACACCGATTTCCCTGACCATACCCAAGTGTTGCAGTTCCGGCAACCTATTCCAACTTGCCACTCCACCTAAGAGCTCCCGCACGCCATTCCAACGAGTTGAGTTGATGGTAGAGCCCCAGAACAACCCTCAGTTGAAAAGGTCCGCGGAAGTCTTCCAACACAACGAAATCCTCCAGACAAAAGCACTAACGTCTCTTCTCCACGGTGCGCCACGCTTGGGCCGAGAATCAACATGTCGTTGACCCACCACATGAACCCACCAAAAATTGGATGGATCTTCAATTCAATATTCGATCTGTCCATCTCTATCTTCACCCCGCCCATGGGGTGGAGTAGGAACATCGCCGCTGGTCTCTTCTTGCAGCCTTGTCCAACTGATGTGACACGTTTTATCTTCGTTGAGGATCCTGGAATTTTGGCAATCATTGTCGACACGCCATCTTGTGTCACCTTCAATGCGCAGCTGCAGCTCACTGTTCGCTGCGGTCAGAGTCTAAATCATCTGCCGCTGCGAAATCAAAGTCTTGACAAACCGACAAAACTTGAGCCAGGGCGCCCCCCACATGGTGTAGCACTTTTGCGCCCGACGCTGACGCCACATTGCGACGCCACATTCTGACGCCACATTCCCTGATTCCCTGATGCCAAATTCTCCCCTGACGCCACATTCTTCGTATCCCCTGTGTTTTGTAGTGCCCTACGTCCCCTAGGCGTGTCTATGCTATACTAGTGTAGCACTTGTTGTCCGTACATAGCTTTGTAGTTTACTCTTCGGTAGCTTTACAGCTTAATTCATTCCTTTACTTTTGGCTCAAGACTGATCTTCCAAACTGCATCGCCAAGCTCCTGTCACCAACCGAATGAAACCGGCGCGCACACAAGCTTGTTGAAGGTCGAATTTAGAAACACAAGGTGGCAACTTGGACCTACAGGACTTCAAGAAGCCATCTTTTCTGGCAATTTTTTGGGACTAGCTTACGGTTTGGACGATCGGGTGCCACCTTGCGTTTCTAAATTCGACCTTCAACAAGCTTGTGTGCGCGCGGTTTTCATTCGGTTGGTGACAGGAGCTTGGTTTCACAAAACCTTGCACGCTCGCCGTTTGCTGTCGTCTTTATGACTGACTATGCAGTTTGGAAGATCAGTCTTGAGCCAAAAGTAAAGGAATGAATTAAGCTGTAAAGCTACCGAAGAGTAAACTACAAAGCTATGTACGGACAACAAGCGCTACACTAGTATAGCGTAGACATGCCTAGGGGACCTAGGGCACTACAAAACACAGGGGATACGAAGAACGTGGCGTCAGGGGAGAATTTGGCGTCAGGGAATGTGGCGTCAGAATGTGGCGCCGCAATGTATGAAAAGGCATCAACTGCATCACCTCGAGCTTTGGCAGCAAGAGGGCTTCAACGGAAGAGGCCCATAAGCGACGATCGTTTAAGGTCAGGCACTTGGTGTCGCGGTTGGTGACATGGGCGCACCAGAGATGCATATATAATGGCATAATGGATGCAGCCAGGAGCGGTGACAACGGGCGACCCCGCGCCAACCCCCGAGTCACGCCAGTGTAAACTTGGCGCTCCAACCGAGAAAGCACTCATGGCGCCTAAATGCCTCAGGACAAGCTCGAGGTGATCGCGCCGAAAAACTTGGGCCAATCCTGCACTACGAAAGTCACATCGTCAGCGTGACTGTCCATGGCATGCCACCATCTCAAGTGAGCTTCCAGCAAGCTACGTCCAGGAATACCACCCAACGTACGGCGATCAAGCCATTGCGCCCACAACCGAAGACTCCGTACCAAGAATTTGGCACCGATGCGCCAGGCCACGGTGAGAAGGCTCAAAGGTCGAAGGCTCCCGCTAGGGTTAGGGATCAGACTCACACGAGCACGCTTCCAAACAGATGGCCTGCCAGGAGGCTAACAAACTTTTGGTACCCCAATCGTCTAAGCCGGATGCCTTGCCAATCAGACTCAACAACGCTCCGAAGTGCGGCCCCGGACCACTCGACGGTGGCAAGGGTACAACGCTGGAACGAACGCGACGCAGCTCTTTCACTTTGCCACTGGCACATTGGCATGGCAGGAAGCTCACATCTTTCAGAAATGGAAGCACGCGTCGTGTTGCTGATTCATGCTGATTCCTTGAGGACACAAGCGGCTCTGCCAAAATGCGGATGCCTTTAAGTCTCAACCAGATTCTATCGCGCCGTCGGGCTCGTATCTTTAGCGTTTGCGCATCTTGGGGAATTTGACCCCCTTGCGAGGTACTTCGCATTGACTGGGGCGACGTCCTTGGAAGATCCGGAAAGAAGCTGGGCGCTCGCAGGACCAGGCCGTGAGTCCCAAACGGTCTCACTGTCTCACTGGTCGTCCACACAGTACGAGGATTTTTGCTTCCGCCCGGATGATGTCGTCAACTCCGGCCCTGGCATAGGGGCGTAACTTTTCATCGATGGTGCATTTAAGCAAGTTGAAGTGAATTCCATTATACCACAACACAATCGTGCCTTTCCTTCCCTTTGACTGGAACTTCAAAGGGTCCACTTTCAGGAAATGGATGACCGCAATGGCTGTCACATCAAGTTTCCGACGCAAGGCCTGGATCTCGGTGGACGATCCGCGCGCAGCCTGCTTGGTTTGTGCATCGAGGTAAGCACCGAAGTCTTTCCCCACTTTACCATCAGGCAGAAGGCGTTCGCATACTGATCCCGGAGCTTCTTCATGCGCTCAACCGCGTTGGCCCTCAGGTGTGGGCCACTTAGCTGGTCCGTGCGAGAAGGCTGACAGCAGACTGTTTCCATCACCAGCAACCGTAGCACATTTCAATGTATCCGGCGTGCGGCGCACTAAGACTTTCTGCTGCTTGACAGACTCCTTTTCCATGTCAGCGCTTGGATGCAGAAGAAGGAGGCGGGGTGGCCGTGGTGACCTGGCAAGTCTTTCTAGGCTTCAAGTCCAAAGTGACAGGAGACTTCAAAGGTGCAGCTTTGGAGGTCGTAGGTTGCAGCCCACACTGTCATTCCACTCTCAAGATCCAATGGAAAATGTCCTTATCCGTCTTGGGCTTCGAGTCACTGCCTTGCAGGATGCTCTCTGCCACAGGTGACTGCTCACTGGACTGCAGCAAAATCACGCTTTGAAAATCCTTGTTGGCAGCTTCAGCCGTCTTACCGGCCAAGTCTTAGTTCTACACCCCTTTGGAACGCGAGCGAAGATCTCGGGCCGCCTTGGATGTGCTTTCACAAGGCTTCATGCTCCTTCTTTGGGTCTTGATCATGATGATGTGCGAGGTGCGCAGATGGGAGAAGCTTCACATCCTGGACCTGTGGCAGCCAGGAAATCCGCACAGAAACGTGCTGAAGCATCAGAAGGCTCGGCGAGTGATCAGTTGGGTCACATTTTGAAGCCTATTCTTCAGCGGTTGGTGCAGAAATCTGTTACAGAAGATCATACAAGATCTCTCCAAGAAGCAGCCGGTGGCCGCTGCCACTTCTCCTCCTGCCAAATTTTTTCTGGTGGGAAATCTGTGAGTGCTGATGGGGGTTCTTTGAGCCCAGGCAAGGGCAAAGGCGCAAGCCCGTTGATACAGCTGGTGATCGGATCACTGGTGAATCAGGGTCCTTCCCCGACAGTTGCCCGGGACACTGCGTGCCAAGGGCTGGGATGCTTCTCCTATGTCCTTTGGCCACCGGGCCATATAGTCAATGGCGGAAGGTGGTCTCATGGCTGGAGTTCCCGGACCATTCTGCTGCCTAGGAGCCATGCGGCAAACTCAGCTATGCCCTACGGCAGCCCCGCAGGGCTCCGCTACCAACAAGAAGAGTTGAAGTAAAACTCCAAAACAACTCTCAACTGAAAAGCCCTCGAAGTCCCTTCCAACACAACGAATTCCTCAAGACGCAACACTAGCGTCTTTTCTCCATGGCGTGCCACAAGGATCAAATGCTCTCCCACTTGGGCTGAGAATCAACATGTCGTTGACTCACCACCTAAACCAATCAAGATTTGAATAGATCTTCACACACTCTAAAGCTACACATCCAAACAGTAAACACATGTAAATCATGTAACGCGATGTGAAAACATGTAATGACATGACATATCTTGTTACAGTTTAAGTTTAATGCAACACATCCACACGGCGGTTTTTGGGTTTCGTTGGCCATGAGTCCATTGGCATCCAAGTGCTCAATCAACCCTGAGGTCAAATGGCAATCGTCACTGATGCCGGCAGCTTGCATAGCCTGATTGCAGTGCTTGGACGATCTGGCATCTGCTTCAACAGAAACATCCAAACTACTCTGTTAGATCATGTCGAGGGACAATACAATCTATGTAGCTGACACCAGCTACTGCAATGCCCCTGCCTTAAACGCAGGTCGTAGGTCAAATGAATGACAACTACTAAACACGGTTGATTGGGTCCATGCGGGTAATTGGTGGTACCTGCTTCCATCCTCAACTTGAAAGAACGCAATTTCGCACTTGTATTCGGTCCGGTCAAAGGGTTGGGCACAAAACTTTGCTAACTGATCAGTTCCGGCCTCCTTGACCTCGTCTTGGTGAATCACACCATCATTGTCGCCTTATCATGGTCCTAGTTGACACACTTTCAGTAGCTTCTCCAAGGTATCTTACATGGGTATTGCGACATGGCGTGTATCAGTGCATGATGGGCTGCATCCCAAGCACCGTATGTTTGCTGGTGCTGACTCTTACGGCGTATATGGGCAAGTGGACTGTTTCGTCTCCTTGTCTGGATGGTTTTTACTTGAGACAGCCTCGCTTCAAACACATACTGTCTTCAAAAGATTCCCCTGTTATATAATCTATCATCCACAAAGCACTTGGTTTGCACAGTTTCGATGAAGATTCGTTGAACATGGCACCCCCATAAACATCCTTGAAACCCCTCCAAGCTTCGGTCATAGTGTTTGAAGAGCACCTTGATGTCATCGTTGTGTTTTTCTTTGGCCAGCTTCATCATTTTTGACTCGATCTGGTCTGCGCATCGCACCTCAGGAGTGACACCACTGGACCCGATCTCCCTGACTTACCGGGCCTGAATGGATGGAGCAAGAAACTACTCTAGACTCTAGTTTGAGAGTACTTGGCGGTGAGTGGTCCAAAAATCGACGTCGAGATGCCATTTACTGTTCCTCGTTCTGCTGTATTTTTTTCTTCTAGGCTCAGACAGGAAACAGTACATGGCACCGACCTAAAGTGCAGCCAAGTCCACACAGTCAAGCTCCATTTGATATGTCAAGGACAAAGTGTTGTTCCACTACAGAATCGCAATGTGCCTCTACTGTAGCATCTTTCTGACGTGTCACCGGTTTCATCTACTTTTACCCGAGCACATTTGGAACCCACTTGGCTAAAACGCCATCTATGGCCCCTCTCTCAGCGCCATGTACTCTTGAAATACTGTACATGTATCAACGTGTCTTGTTTGACGAGTGACCGAATCTTCATCAGATACAGCTCCCTGGCCGGCTTCAAGGAGAGCAACCCCAGCAACAGCCAGTCTTCCCAGAGTCAGCCACATGGTCGGACAGGGGTGCCGGAGTGCTGCGGGCACTGGCGAAACGGTGTTCCACAATCCAACGAACTGCAATCAGAAAATACAACAAACATCAACAAAGAGACTTTGACCATTTTATTCTTGTAAGTTCGGTTACTTAGCTGCTACTTATGCTTAGAAATCGAGTCCGGGAATGTAGGCTATGAGTAGCCAAGTGGAAGATCACCCAGGAAAATGCTACCAGGGCAGCGGCTTCTGGTGCACTGAGAGCCAAGGCGTGCAGCTCCAAAAGTGGGGGCTGGATAAGGGTGACATGGAGAGCAAACAACAATAGAATACAGTACGGTAGATCGACGACATTTGTCAAGGGCTTGGGAATGTTTTGTGGGAATGAACTACTGGCTAAGAATAACGGACTTGGCGGTGAGCCAACACCACTGTGTTGTTCATCCTGCCAATGCTGATACTGATATATAAATACTCACCTTTGTTTCCACTAGCCTCGGATGCCAAAACAGTTTCTTTTTCTTCAGGGCAACCTTCTCAAGAAATCTGCTGACCTTCCGCCCAGCTCTTCGCCTCAGCAGAACTGGTGAGGGCACGGAAGGCGTAGGAAGCCAAGAAACCCACGAGAAGATTCACCTCCTACAGCGATTTCGCACTAACGCATGTCTTACACTCACTGAGGTCTTAAGCTGAGATCTTCTGAACTATACACATGGGTCACCTTTATTGGATCACCCGGCCAAGGACAGCAAACCAAATCAAAAACAAAAAATCTATGCGGGGGGGGGGGTATGATGGCCTGCTGGAGTCATGCCAAAGGCTTCTATCCATATGCCCCTATGAATTCCTGTTCCCAGCTTATCTGAAACCAAACCCAAAAGGCATGAGGCGTACTGTGAACATTTTGGGACTTTGGATCTTACTGGTACTGTTCCTTCTGGCACAACAATTGCAAATCAACAGCAATCGGTCGGAGACTCCTGCTGAGCTTTTTCAGGTGTCATCGTGCCATGGCAAACTATGCCAACTAGCCTGGGCTGGACACTGTTGACGTTGTTGGCTCGAAGTGTTGTCCATGTGACCTTTACCGTGTTTAGACTTTTTCAATGCAGAGAACTCATCCAATGATCCACTATGAGTCTAGGCTGAGCACATCAAGTGTCCAACACACCCTCCTCAAAATACATGGCCATGCCGTGTACAACAACTTTCTCGAGGCTTTGTAAAACACACATGCATCTGAGCCTCGTCACTATCATTTCCACGGTGCAGTTTGACTAACCGGAAACACTTGACATTTTCTAGAGGCAAGGCCACTTGCCATCCATGTTAGATCACAAGGTTCTTTTTCATTAGTCACGATGGACTTGTTAGCCTAAAGGTTGCACATTTAGCCCCTCTTTCTCACAAAGCTTTAGGAGCTTCTCCGGCTTTCAGCACATTTGTGCCCGCGCAAAACGCATCGCCCAAATGACCACATCCCCTAAGCGATCGACCGGGCAATGCCAAAGCTGAAGGATTTGTTGGCTAGTTACTGTCTTGACATTGGGCAACACTACCATCTAGGAGGCAAAAAATATTGTTTGTCATTGGCATTCATTGACTAAACCATTTGTTGAAACGGGGCGTCGATGAGCACGGTCGCTCTAGAGAACTCTGGAAGATTGGAAGAGCAACATGACCCGAAAGAACTGGAGGCGTACCACATATCTGAGAAGACCTCCTGCGCTACCAGTGTGAACGTTTGCAATAGGTGGTGCAACTACAGTAGACATTTGCTCGATGTCTGACACAATGTTGAATCCCTTGGAGCTTCCACTGGCAATGCCATTCTGCCAGCACCAGCTCGTTACTTGGTTTGGCGAGATGAAGGGTAACCGATGTCTTTGATCCAAAATGTCAGAGTTCTGCAAGAATCCTGACCATCACCAATAGTCACGAATCTCACACAAGCCTTTTTTTCACCTTATAAGCTTTGAATATAGGCATTTTAGCCTTCAGTGCATCTCAAGCATTACAGCCTTATCAGGATCAATCCTGCCGGTCAAAGAATGTAATTTATGGCAGCATGCAAGGCTAGGCAACAGCAGCAATCCAGCAACGAAATAGACCATTCCAAAGAACTGATCGGGCTTGTTGAATCTTGGGATGATGACCTTGCCACCAACAAGTTGGCCAAAGCAGCAAAAACAGCAACTAAACGCAAACAGGGTTAACCAGGGGCAGCCAAGGAACATCTGAGGCTACCAATGGTGCTACGATCTTTGCAAGAGTTTCCAGGATGGAAACAGCCCCCTGCAATAAGCCCTGCTGATCTGATGACAACTCTCGAGTTGCCAGCCCAACTGCTAAAGGATAGGCCATTGAGCCAACTGCGAAAAGAATCATAATGATGAAGGCCCAGGCGTTGATATCTGGTGTCAGCATGGAGAAAAGCAAATAGAAAGCGATCATTGAGGCAAAGGACAGCTGCAAAGTCCCAATCTCACCAAATTGACGTATCAACATGGGCTGCACAAAGCCCAGAAGGATGAAGGACTCCATAGCCCACATTGTGCCAAGCGCTATGAACGTAGACTTTGGCATCTTGAGAAGTTTTTCGCAGTAGAAATTCAATGTGCTAGTGTACATGTTCAACGAGAAGGCGCTCAAGAAAACAAGGGTCGAGTACATCACCTCAGGTTGAACAAGTGGCTCTGTCCCCATAGGGCAACTTCCGAGTGGAACAAGAAAACGGCACAATGAAGACAACACAGTGAGCAGAATATGAGCGACTTCATGACACAGCTGCAAAGCAACATGTCATCATACCACGTTGGGGTCTCAGCACGCCGCATCAATGCCCACGCACAGTTTCAACACCCACAAGCGTGCCACCATACATGACGGGAGAAAAGCCAAAGGCAAACTTCCCGACAGCCAGGCTGCGGCCACAACAGGTGGGACACAAGCTGGATCACCCTGCGCGGGCTTGGTGCAGGCTCGGCACGCGCTTGTGGAATGCTGGTTGTGCAATGGGGTCGGTGGTGAGACTACACTACACACACCCCTTGCGCACTTTTCTTGCAATGGTAGACAGGCTCTTGGGCCAATCAAGGGGAAGGAGGCTCACACTGTACCACAGCCCAAAATCCAAAAGGGCACAGCAGGGTTACTGTGGTAACAGCTGTTTTTGGGCAGCAACCTGCAACGCTCCCTTTGCGCACTTTTCCTTCAAGGCTGCCCCGCAAAAGCCTCGCCACTCCTCATGGCCTGAATCACTTTCGGCCTCATCCCCTCAAAACTCGATATCGCAGCGCTCTGCGCGTCGTCGCTTTCCGACTCGGTTCCAAGCACAGGTCTGCCAGCACTGCTCTGTCGTCCCGTAAACCCTGATTCAGCGGAGTGTGTGGAACCCTCCCGCTCTGTATTTCAGATATGATCTTCCAATGGCACTCCACTTGTGGCCAAAGTTCGAAACGCACTGACTTGGCAGCTTGTGACGTACCTGCTCCGCCGTCAAATCTAGTGGCAGGGCCAACTGGGCGACCCAGAACGTCGACGCCCACAGGTATACGTACATCTTCGCTCAGGCGTAGCAATCATTTCGCAAAAGCTGCCCCCCAGTTGGCCCGGGTCACTTCAGAAGCCAAACTCCAAACAGCATGCCAAACCAAGAAACCATCTTTGTCCAAACCTGGCCCTGCACAAAAGTGCAATCCCAGCAAAATGAAAACATGTGTAGACGCTGGACGTCATTCCACCGCAGCCCCAACCAAACCATCAAAAACCTCCACAGCGGCGATGTTAGGACGCTTAATTCCGACAAGCCAAGCTTGTGACTTGCACATTTCAAAACACCGAGGATGGCTTTTGCTTTACTTTACCCACTCTGCCCCTGCCCTGTCCACGAGGGACCCGGTAGCCAGCCCTCACACAAAATCAACAAGCACTGCCCAAGGACCTGAAGGTGATGAAACTATCGGGGCATGACGGAATTCTGTCCATTTTCGCAACTTTTGCATAAGGACCCGCACGATCCAATTACACCAAGTCCACTTATTGAACATCAACAAGAAGGGAGTCAAAAGGAAACAGAAGGGAGACAAGATGGACACAATGGCCAACAAGAAGGGAGACAAGAAGGGTAACAAACGGATACAATGACCAACAACAAGGGAGACAAGAAGGGAGACAAAACGAAACCGAAGGGACGAAGCGGACACAATGACCACCAAGAAGGGAAACAAGACCGGACAAGAAAGGAGACAAGACCGGAGACACAGGGAAACAAGGACACAAAAGGAAGCAAAAGGGAGACAAGGCGGACACAGTGAAAGGGAGACAAGACCGGAGACAACGGAAGACAGAAGGGACCAACAAAAAGGGAAACAAGATGAAACAAGAAGGGAAACAAGAAGGGAGACAAAAGGACACAGTGACCAACAAGAAGGGAAACAAGAGGAGACGGAAGGGACAATGACCAACAAAGGGAGACAAGACCGGAGACAAAGGGAGACAGAAGGGAGACAAGGCGGACACAGTGACCAACAAGATTGCGGACACAGTGACCAACAAGAAGGGAGACAAAGGGAGACAAGCCGGACGGAAAGCGGACACGCTGTCCCGTAGCAGGCGGACACTCTCAGAAAGCCTTGAGAACCCCTAACAGTATCCTGTTTGGGGAAGTACAAATGTTTGGGGAAGCACCAAACCTGGGAAACAACAGTAAACAATCACATGCGGGACAAATGAACAGAAATGCTGCATAGCCAGCGGAAAAGGGCGGACACCAGCAGCGGCGACAGAAAGGGCGGACACATCTTAAGAAAGAATTGACAACCCCTGACAACCCCTAACGAATAGAAATGTTGCATCGCCAGCGGAAAAGGGCGGACACCAGCAGTCAAACCTGGGAGACAAATGAATGGAAATGCTACATGGCCAACGGAAAAGGGCGGACACCACCAGTGACAGACCTGGGAGACAAATGAATAGACATGCTACGTGGCCAGCGGAAAATGGCGGACACGACCTGGAAGACAAATGAATAGAAATGCTACATGCCCAACGGACACCAGCAGTGACAGACTTGGGAGACAAATGAATAGATTTGCTGCATGGCCAGCGGAAAAGGGCGGACACCAGCAGTGACACAAAGGGCGGACACAATTTAAGAAAGAATTGAGACCCCCTAACAGCAAACTGTTTTGGGAAAAACGTGAGCCCATTGCGCGGCTGATCGCTCGCACCTAGGTCTGTGTGACAAAGCGTCGCCGCAGGTAGATGATGGTAGATGCATATTTTTGTTGGGGCCACCTGACTGGACCTCACGGTCCAGGTGGAACGGGTTGACGAACGATAGGCGGGACGGGACGGGGCTCTTCGGATTCATCTAGATGAAATCCCGCTGGCCTCACCGTCCTTTTTGCCGCAGCAGTTGCAGGGCAACAAAAACAACATACAAACTTCAGCTGCACTTCTTCCACACTGTACCACAATGCACAATCAAAAAGGGTGCGGGAAGGGGGGCTGCTGCTCTTGGGAAACAGGCTGGCCTTGCCAGTCGGTATGAGATGCTATTAAATATCAGCATAAGGATATATAAAGTAGGTTCTAATTACTCTGAAGTCTCTGTGATCCATGATGCTGCACTGGCCCGCGGACCCACCCCGAATAAGCTGAAGTTTGAGTGTTGTTTCCCATCACAAACTCCTAGCCGTGAGAGAAGTGAGAACCTCTATAGCTTCCAGCTATCTGGACATCAGCCCCTTTCATCCCTTGTCTACTGAGGTTATGGCCATAGCCTGGTTGATTCGCAAGACATGCAAACCAACAAAAGGGTTGGTCTCCCTGCATGTAAAGTTCTTTCTGGGTGCGATGTCCCGCCACTTCACGAAAACCTTAGGAAGCGGTGGCGGAGGTGCTAAATGAGAACTCGTCCAGAAAAGAAACTCACGAGGCAAAACTGAGCATTGCAAAAGCTGGATCAAGCCAGGCGTCCAGTACAATAATCATAGCATTCATGCAGGTTGCCGTCAAAAAGCAAGCCCTGAATGATAGCTGCATCTTCTCCACAATGGCAACGACCATGCTGCCTTTTGTGGGCTTTCAGGGTCTTTCAATTACAGGCGTGCACCCCATCTCCTCTACAAACACATGTTTTTAACTTCCTTTAGCATGTCAGCAAAGGCACCCATGCACATGCCAACCACCATGGCCGCTCCAAGATATGACATGCGCTGGGGGCATTCTTCTGCTCCAGAAATATCCGATGTGTATGACTGTAAAGTCACCTTGTAGTTTCCAAGCAGTCCAGCTACTCCCCGAGAGGCGAACAGCCCGGTCCATGCCATCACTCGTTGAACTTGCGGCAAGTAGCCAAATGAAGGAGGTAGACAAAGTGCTGCCATAAGGTAATCGACGACCTTGCAGAATTACAACCAAGTTAGCCATTGCGAACACTACATCATGACGAAAAACAGATGGCGACACAGCACGACAATAGGCTCATTTCGCGGGGATTTGTTGGTGCATGGTTGATCTTTTTAAAATCACTGTTTCTTCCCTCCGGTCGTCTGGCAACACTGGTGGACATCATGTGAGGTGCTTGTTTGGACTTTTTGGTTGTCGGGAAAAGTAATAGTTTGTTATTCGCATGGTTTTGGCCGTCACAGCCCATTTGGAATGCTTAGGGCCTGAGGTGGACAGTTGGCTTCAGTATGTTTCAGTCACTACTGTATGCCAGTAGGAATGCATGCTGGTGTGGTTGCGAAGTTCAGGATCATGGTCTGGGATAAATTGTATTGTAGTGGAATAGCACATTTGCATGGCCATGGTGAAACCAAGTCTTTTCAATCACTTGGCGCATGCGCGCAAACAAGTTAAGCAGCCAGGTGAAGGCACAGCAAAGCGTGTGGACAAACACTGAGCAAAGCCCGCAGCCAGGCCCAAGAACCTTGAACATGATTGCTTGATCTGATGCCCTCTGCCGTGAGGGCGGTTGTCATTGTGTCCACCAGAGTCACCAGAGGTCGTATTATTCTAGAAACCGCCAATCTTTAAAAAAAAACACACATAAAATGCAAGCCAAAAAACACAAGCAACACAAAGAGCAACCAAGAAAGCAAAACAACAACAACAACAACAACAACAACAACAACAACAAACAGTGCAGCCAAAAAACAAGCAAGAAGAAACAACCAAGAAAACAAAACAACCTTTAAGGCACTCTTTAACGTGGTCAACCCAAAAGGTCAATAGAGGCAATGCTACTACCCGCGCTACTAGTCCCCAGCAAGGGCCCCCTGCAGACTCACTGCAGGTTCAGATTCAACGCGTTGGAGCCCAGCTTGGCGAGGGGGCCGGGCAGGGTGAGGAAGACAAGGGTCTTTCATCCCCACCAGCTGACTGGTTTTCTGGCGCCGGGTCAAGCGTCTCACTTTTGGTTGCTTCTTTTTTCTGGTGCTGGGTCAAGTGTCGCACTTTTGGTCATCTTTTTTCCTTGGTGCCGGGTCAAATTTCGCATTTTTGGTCGCTTGTTTTTACTACTTTTTTTTGGCGCAAAAAAAAGGAAAAACAACAAATAGCAACAAAAGGGCAAAAAAGAGCGACCAAAAGCGCACCAGAAAGTGGACCCGCAAGTGGACCATTCCAAAAGGTGCACCAGAAAGCTCGGCTGAGAGCAGAAACCTGAGGGACCATGTAGATGTCAGCCGCCCCAGAGCTTTTTTGGAGGGGTGTACAGTTACAGTAGTCAACCAGTCGCTCGCAGGTACAGTAGCAGTAGCAGTAATTTTGTTACTTCTTGACTTGCTTTGTAAGTAATTACCAGGTAACTCCTTTTGTGAAGTGGTTGTCACGCTGTTTGTTGCAAGGGTATTTTTTGTTTGTTACAAACATGCCGTGTTGTTCCATGTTTGCTTGCAATTGTGTTTTTGTTGTTGCTTTTATGATTGCTTTTGTTTTTCTAGCTGCATTTTGGCATTGCTCTTTTTTGCTCTTTTCTTGCTTATGATTGCTTTTGTTTTTTTCTGGCTGCATTTTGTGATCACCTTATCTTTTCAAGATGATCAACTTCTAGAATAAAGGGGTCCGGCAGACACAAAGATTGTCAACACATTTATATATTATTGATCATGACATGGCAACTGTGCGAGCCTCACCAGCACATCCGTGGGCTGTGTTGTGGCCCTTGTATATAGGAAGGGGTTTAGTGACACCACTACAGTACATCGAACTGTCCTGGCACTCATGCAATTCTTGATCGTGACCCTATCTGCCGCTGGTGGCTTGAACATGTTTGATCTGTGATCTATCATCGCTCGCCAGAGTTCCCGCCCAACAGTCGGATGGTTCGCGACCCAACCCAAGTCTCTCTGATGTGCCATAGCCATCCGTAGCCGTGTTCCACCACATGAGGCGGCTTAAGCCCGACTATGTGCCGGATTTTGTGAGTCAAATGGAGGATAGCACAAAGTTCAAAGGTATATCAAGCGATGCATTAGCGAGTACAAGTATATAAGCTGTGCACCCTCGCTAGGGTGAAGGTGAGGCGCATGAGACTCGAAAGAATCAGCAGCATGGCCCATGAGCTTCAAAACTGTCAGTCTTGTTTCCAGTGGTCGGAACACATGCCACGCAAGGCCAATCAAACGGACAGTTAGGCTAAGTATGAAGCTTCGGGCCAACGGCATCTTCACATAGATTGTAGTCTAATCATAGTACTCAAACCTTCCAAAAACAGAACCCTGGGCACTACCTCCTGCTTGCGATCGAGAAACCTGTCCCAATTGTGCTGCGATCTGAACACTGCGTCTGCCGTATTTGTCGCTTGCTACTCCCACAAGCTGGCTGGTAACGAGCTCACAAACTCCATTCACTGCGAGCAGTCGTCCATAGTAGGTCTGTGCTTCAGTATCCTCTTTCCCTCCTCCGGAACCCACTACCTCTTTGCAAACCTCTAGCCAGGTCATCATTGCAGCACCGAGACCTAAGTCCAGCGGTTTTCTGCAAAGTCTTGACATTTTGAGGTCGATACATGTCGATACTAGTAGCTTCTTGCTCCTAGTAGTAAGGCCACAAGCCCCTAGTAGCGTCCTTGCTCTTAGTAGCGGTACCCTTGTTACTAGTAACATCTAGTACAGTAACGTTTCAGAAGCTGGTATATGTCTCACAGTTCAATTTCCACTTGCAAGCTGGCAACTCACACTGTGCAAGAAGCTTGTGAGGACAGCTGGCCACACCGGTGGGGCATTTGGTCGCCGGTCAAACTGGAGAAGTTCGGCGGAAGAAAGCCTCTCTCTGGACCTAGATGCTTGGACTGGCAAGATGCTGGCAAGTGCACAAATGACTTGGACAGGGACACAAATACATCTGAGTTGCTAGGCGCCTGACAGTAAAATTCCACTATGGCAGCCGCCTTCTGGATTCTCTCTCTCGCTGAAGGAGCTACGCCGTGCCATGGCAATTCAGGCTTCTGCTGCTTGGCCTAGCAACCTTCGAGTTCATGGATGCGGCCATGCGCATTCAACTTGTTCCTCATGGAATTACTGAACAAGCACCGATTGAGACAAACCTTTTTGGGCTGAAGCGCTTTGATTCCATTGGCTGGCAACTTTGGCCTTCAGAAAGCAGCTACAGCTTCCCACCGGACTTGAAGTTATGCGCTCACACCAGAAAGGGACGTTCTCCATCGGAGGCAGCCTGCAAGTGTCGCGTGGTAGAGTCGGTAGTTTGAAGAAACATGAGGGATCATGAGGGTTGGTGCCTCCTTGGGTCTTTCCCCACTTTGGGCCGCTGCATCGGTCTCGGGTTCCAGAAAACTATGATGCGAAAAAGGTTCGACTCTGAGCTCCTGAATCGCACACCGAGTGCCCTGCTTGACCAACAGGAGTACCCAGCCTGCGGCCAATGATGTTAGCAGGCGTACGGCCTGGCCAGGCACTGTGTGTCATTATTAGTTTCAAAAATGCCTTGGAATACTTTCTCGTAAAAAAGCAGCACCGCACAGCCAGCCTTGCTCTGTTGGACTATGTTGTCTTGACGGTGCAGCTGAACTCATGGAAGGTGTCGGTGGCCGCTTGTCTGACAAACAAATGGCAAGGAATTCGCTTCGAAGTTAGCACTCAGTCCACACACTTATGGATATGCGTACGGACGGACAGCGGTGCCACACGCCGCCTAGGGTACCATTTCCTAAGAGTACAAGTAGGAAACCATTGGAGCCTCGGGGTCCTCAAACGGAGAAGGGGCAGGTACGTTTTCACGACAGCTTGGAGGGGTCTTCGTTTGCCCATGCCATCCAAGTGTCCATGGGCCCCCCGCTTAAAACAACACAAAACAATTCAAAAGAATCCCTGTGACTACAAGGGGCACACACACACGCCTCCCCGAGGGGAGGCGAAAAGCTAAGGTGAGGGCCAATGTGCACGTGTGCGCATTGAAGAGACAAAAGAATGAAGACATGACAGGAGGACGAGACGGGACAAAGGTGCGTGTGGTTGAAATGAAAGGGGAACCAAGTGCACAGGGACACCCGATGAAGCCCACCTCATTGTAAAGACCTGGGCGACCTGAAAGCTGTGTTTAAAGGTATGTAGAAGTGCACATACACACAAAGGCCGGGACCAATGCGCGCGCAAACGAAGAAAAGGATGAGATGAACGGACATGAAGACAGGAGGACATGAAAGAAAAGAGGAAAAAAAGGTGTGTGAAGGGGAATGGGACAGGTTCCAACGAACCTCAAAAATACTTCGACCGCTGTGGTCACCTTGTGCCCTGCCGAAATGGCTGGCTGCTTTGACCGCTGCGGTCACGTAAAGGCATGAGCCAACTTGGAACTCCAAAGATGAGACACAAATCCAAATTCTTGCGGCATAAGCCATCTGCTGTCCGCTGCGGACACCTACGTTCCCAAAGCCGGGGAACATGGACAGACACCCGTTCGACGGGTCCACGGGAGGCACTCTACGGGCTCACTCACTAGGAGAGACACACTTATGTACCATTTCCTGATACTACAAGTAGGAAACCATTGGAGCCTCGGGGTCCTCAAACGGAGAAGGGGCCAAACTCGCAAGTCGAAGTCGATCCGACAGGTTGACGGCGTTCCGCACTTGTCTGCAGATGCATTAGCACTTTACAAAAGGAAAGAGGAAAGAGTGGCCACCAGCTGCGTCTTATATTTTGCCCAGGTGCAGCAAGCAGGTACGTTTTCACGACAGCTTGGATGGGTCTTCGTTGGCCCATGCCATCCAAGTGTCCATGGGCCCCCCGCTTAAAACAAAACAAAACAATTCAAAAGAATCCCTGTGACTACAAGGAGCACACACACATGACACATGTGAATCCAGCACCGTGCTTGATGGTATTTGTTTCTTCGCATGTCTCCTCCAACTAATTTCTCAATCCATCCTCCCAGTTTCCTGCAAACCTCTTGCTAGCAGGAATATTGATTTCCACAGGAGTCAAGGAACCATCTGAGATTAGGATGGTGACCATGCAACTATTCAGTATATCAAGAATTCTGCAACTATTGAACATGGCGTTTTGTACTATATATATATTGCCTTTTCCTGTTCACAAGATGCAATGAAACTAAACTCGCAACTCAGTTTACTGGCAGGAGCTTGCTGCATGAAGTTCCTGTTGCAGGAGGAATTTATATTCTTTTGCAACTACAGTATCCGCTTGAACCCTTTTCCGAGTAGCTGCCCAGTCCGGGCCTTCTATATGGAAAATGCCTTGTGCATCTGACAAGCGACGATTGTAGATGTTCGAGCAGGAGCCTGGCCTCACCACGCCAAGACTTGCGACATCTTGCGGCAGGAAGTAGTCCAGTAGGCATTTGCAACTTGTAACTGAAAAAGTGAGGTCCGGAACTGCATGTTGCCTGCTTTTCGCGGCGCAGTCACTCTCCCAGTCATGCAGCGATTCCAGCCTCATGAGACAAGCAATGAATGCCCGGTGTGTCGAAGACTTTGCTGAGTCCCGACTGGTCATCCTCGCTTCCCTGAGACACACACAAATGAAGCGGCGCAATGTTCAAGATTCTCCGCACTCCCGCTCCAATCTGACTATGGCTTTGTCATAAGCTTGGTGGGCAGAAGGAGTCAAGCCTCAACTTCCAGCTCTTGCATAGGAGGAGGCCGGGGCTTCACCTCGGCAAACACATCCAGCAAATTTCAAACTAAAGTGGCCATCAAGCCTACCTTGCGGGACCATTGACCTGGCGGACAGGTAAAGACTTGATGAGGATGCTGCTGGTGTGCCACACATGCAAAACATGATCGGCAAGCATAGCTGCGCCTCCCCCGTGCTTGCCATTTTGCCCGTTTTGGCCGTCACTGCCTGATACAAAACCATCCGCGCGCAATCGTGGGGCTAGCAACCAAGAGGCGGGCCGTTGGACACGGTCGCTTGCAACTCCTCATTGCAACATATTGCAACCAAAACGCCAAACCACCAGCAGCTTGCAACATCTGCACACAACCCCGTGCGCTCTTTTCTTGACCCCATGCGTGTCTATGTGAAGATTTTCCATTTCTGTCGCGCTGCATGTGTTATAGTATACATGTTGAAGCGCGGATCATAGAACTGCCTCCCCACGGCTGAGGGCACTGCTGGTTGGGGTGATTCTCGGTCATCAGGAGCTTTCAACGCACTGCTGCTCTCCACATCCGAACAATCTTTTTCCCACGCCTTAGCTGAAGCTTGATGGATTTCAATCTTGCCATGGGGACCAAGGGCTGCTCCCCGCCAACAGGGCGTGGAAAGCCGCACCAGCCTAGCAAAAGCTCTGAGCCTGTTGAACACTAAGCGGCTTTAATATGAACTTGAGAAAGTATGACCTCTTAGCTTTTCGAGTTCTTGAAATTGTTTTCTCAGTGTAGAGTTATTTACAGTATGTAGACTGTGTCAGGCGTGCCGATCTCCATATCCAAAGTGCCAAGGTATGGCTCCCAAACCTAAGACCATACGAAGCCGTCAGGCTGGTGTGCTGCACTCATTTCAGCTAGGTTTCTGGCGCTCAAACGCGAGTCATCCTGCAGTTGCAAGCGGAGATTGTATTCAATCTTGCATTGACGAGCTTCTTGCTTCTCGCGCCACCCTGTCCCGCCGAATTTGCGCGAGGCGTTGGCGCAGCCAATAATCTGGATCTAATATTCTTTATCAACGCTACACATTCTGGTGTTCGATAGTTAGCTCATTGCAGCCAGAATTTCGTAGAACATATTAATATACATTTTTTTTGTGTAATGCAGCCAGTTCTGATGTGGTTTCCAAACTGCTTGGTTCCATAGTCCACTCTACGGTGCAAACGAGATCTGTCTTAGTGGATCTTTATTGTTACTTCGTTGCTGCAAATGATGCTCGCTGAAAAATGTGATCTTTCTACCCCAGGAGCTGGTAAGCTCTTGAACTAGCTTCATCCAGCAATCCTTAATTTGTATTCTGACCACCTATAACAGTGGAACTGCCTTGCAAAATGTGCCGAAGGCCTTGCAATGGAAACTCTACCATCTTGGATCTACAAGTTCCATCTTCTAATACTCCATTATAAGTTCTCTAAAAAAGCAATGTGTTTCCGATACACTTTTAGTATAAACATTATAAACATGAAATACTGTTTCTTCTTCAATTGATTTAGGTTTCTCGTTTTTCTCAGATCCTAATGGGGCATGTAAACACAGTAGAACAAATGAATGGCCAAATGACAAATAAGCATGAACATCTCCTTCGCTGGCACAGGGGCGATAATAGCACGGGTCCATGCCTGGCAGTAGCACGAAATCATGAAACAGCATCGGTATCAGAATGGCTTTTTCGTGCTTCAGTATGTGAATGGATCCAGCGGCATCTGGGAACTTGGCACTTTCGGGCTGCTCATCCTTGCGGCTGCAAGCGCTGGACACAAGCAACTGATCAAGTTCACAGTGTTCAGGATTGCTTGGTAACTATCAGCAGCTCTGTTTCTTAGAGGGTGCTCCAAAACGCTCATAGCGGTGACTGTTCCCCTTGCATTGCGAGACCTTACTGGGATGCTTGAGCTTATCAAGTGTTGTGAACACCCCCTCAGGCGCACAGGGTACCCTGGTTCAGGAACAGTTTCTCCTTCATCGACCTTTACCCTCTAACTTGTGTTGCGGAGTTGGAGATGAGTGTCGACACGGCAACTGCTTGGCTGGCATGGAGAGTGCTAAAGTTTCATTTTACTAAAGGAACGCCAGAACGAAATAGCTGTCTTGGGTAGTCATTCAGCCAGCCCGGAACCCGATGGAGTATTATGGCATATGGGCTTGGCAGCCAAGCCACGCAATGAACGCAGCTTTTCAACCCAGCAAGCCGGGACCCGTTGTTCTAGCATTCTGGGGTTCAGGACAAATAGCACGATGGCCTGACAGGGGTTCCTGGGGAATGAAGTGGTCTCACAGTTTCAGGAGTTCTCTTTTCTAAAATCTTCGGAGAATCCTGAAGCCCACCAGCTACTAGCAGCTA